AGTGAACAAGCTTTAAGATGATACCAATAACTCTACATGCCCAAAAATTGACGAGAGCCTGATTCCACCACGCTGCCTCACAATGGAATAACGATTAGAGCTGTGCTGATAATACATTTGCTGGCAGTAACTAAAGACAGGTTGAATGATGAATATTATTAATTATGAAAAAACAACAACGTTCAATGCCAGATCTGAGACAGACATCGGCGATCATGATTTTCCATTCATTTCTTTGCTTGGATGCTCTCAGAAAAGCCACGTTCAAGCACCATAAACGGTAAAAACGGTCTTCTTCAGGATTTGGCTGTCTCTGCTTTACAAACTATGTTTCTCGCTAAAAAAAACCTTATTCCTCATCTCTGTAAGCATTGAGGCCAAATTGGCAATTAGAAGGTACTTCTTTTCCTGTACTCATCTTCAAAGAAACATCAAGACAAGTATTTTAACTGTAAGCAAACATTTAACAAGTAAAACGCTTTAAGAAAAGGTTTGATTTAATTTGTCTTTATTGAAAACGTCTTAAAATGCTTCATAAAAACAAGTAAACTTCAAAACGAATATAATTGGTATACTTGAACTAGATACATATCTCATCTCTGAATCTTTTTGTCTCTTTGTTTATTTTCTTTCTCCCCGCACCCCCCCCTCTCTCTCTCCTTTCTCCTTTCTCCTTACTCCCGTCTCTCTCTCTCTCTCTCTCTCTCTCTCTCTCTCTCTCTCTCTCTCTCTTTCTCTCTCTTTGATCATCTTTCGTTCCTTCTCACGCTCTCTACCTCTCTCTCTCTTTCCCATTCTCACTCTCATACCTCTCTCGCTCAATCTCTCTTTCTCTCGCTCTCTCTCTCTCTCTGTGTCTCTCTGACCGTCTGTCTCTCTTCTTTCTCACTCTCTCTCTCTCTCGTTCGTTTTCTCTCTCTCTCTCCCGTCTCCCCTCACTTTCTCCCCTCTCTCTCTCCTCTCCCCCTCTCTCCTTCTCTCCCTTCCTCCCTGTCTCTTCCCCCTCACTCACTTTCAGTTTCATTATTCTGATTTCTTCGCGGAGTCAGACGACAGAGGTGCCGCATTATTTATGACGATGACATCATCATTATTGGTGGCGTTTCCTCCCGTGTGGGAGATGACTTCGGATTCTTTGATGTCATCAAAGTATGCTGTCTTGTCACCATTAGGCATGAGCGCATCTGTGACGTCATCAAAGTATGTTGTCTTGTCACCGTTAGGCATGAGCGCATCTGTGACGTCATCAAAGTATGTTGTCTTGTCACCGTTAGGCATGAGCGCATCTGTGACGTCATCACCAGGGGGAGGCTGAACCTCAATGTCCATCATCATGATGTTTTTCTTTTCTTGAGGGTCTGGGAATCGCGCCTGAGATTTTGTTTTGTTTTTGTTTTTGTTGTTTGTTGGGG